GCATTGTTATACACATATATATTTCCTAGAGTAATCACTGAAATAACAGTGTCAATTAGTAGAATGATTTCAAAAAGCTCTTCAAAATAAGGCATGCAAGGTGAGAAAAAGAAAGAGTAGGTAAGCCAGTGATTTCTCACTCGTTCTGGAAGTCAACCATTTTGTGGCTCGCTCTTCAAGCATTTTCCCCTAACTTCAAGCTGTTCTGCTAGTCCCAAACAATTTTTGCTAACTCTTCTAACCATTGAGGCTGTAGACTGGGGAGTGACCTCAGGAAGAGGCTGAAAAACTCATCATCTTACCTACTGTAGTTTGACTTCTAAGGGTAGATTTATGCTTTTCTGCCTCCTTCTTTATTTTATCTACGGGAGTTAGCACCAAACTACTCTGTTGTTACTCTGCATTACCAAATGCATTAACCATTTTTGAAACCGTAAAAAAAAGATAGAAATAAAGTGAGATACATTCATTTAGTTAAAAACATGACTGAGTACCTACCACGCACCAAGCATTGATCTAGGCACTGGAGATACAGTGGTACACAAAACAATGTCCCTGATCTCAGGACCTTACACTTTTGTATGGGGACAAATAATTAAGATAATACCAGATAGTGTTATGAAGATGAAACAGAATGACAATGAATGACTTAAGTGGAAGGGCGCACTTTAAATTGGCTGGTCAAGGAAGTCCTTCTTGGACAAATAACATTTGGGCTTAAAACTGAATGACAAGGAGGAGCCAACCATGAGGATTTTTTGCATAAACTATTGCACTGATCAGACTGGGCCAAAGCTCTAAGGCCAGAAGCAGTTTAGGAAGGAAGGAAGAAAACAAAACAAAGAGAACCAATAGTGGAAGCGATCTGGCTGCGGAGAGGCATGAACGCTGGCTCCAAGTGGTCACAAATTCAGCCCTGAACTTCCCGATGGAAGCAGCGAAAAAGAAACCTAGTCAGGGCTGAAGTGCACCCTAGAAAAACGATCCTAAATACCGACCTGCACAGAAACGCAACCTGCATATGTTATTTCTAATACTCAAAAATCAGAAGCAGATTGAATGGCTAACAATAAAGGGATAAACAGGCTACAATGCACATTTCCCTAACAGATTACTATGACTCTATTAAAATTGAGAACTATGATAACCTAAATACGTTTATGCTATAATGCCGAGTGAAAAAGCGAGATATGAAATAGGATCACTATTTTATGTAAACCCTCAAAACCCTTACTCCCAACAACCAATAAACGAAACTGAAAAAACACACATCAAATTTCTAAATTTTATGTGTTTGAGTGGTAGAATTATAAGTAATGTTTTTTTATTTCTTCTTCACTGTTTTTTTCGGATTAAAAAAAAATTTAAGGAAAAAATCCATGTATATACAAGCAACTGAAAAGTTATTTAAGTCAGACAAATATGGTATACGTGTATAGCATTAAGTGTTCTGATGGGAAAACAGAAAATTAGGTGAATAAAACTCCATAAACAAATACAACTAAATGGATGAAAAGGCCTGTTTCATTCCACCCCAATCACCTCCCACTGGAGAATGCTTTAAAAGACATTTATTGACTGTGGCAGCTCCCTACATATACTCTTCCTTCCTTCCTTCCCCAGCATCTAAAGGATAATGTCCATGTTCTGAACACAGACATGGATCTCTTAGGTTCCTATTTCTTTTTTAATTTTTAATTTTTCAATTATAGTTAACATACAATATTATATTAGTTTCAGGTGTCCAACACGGTGGTTGGAAATTTATATAACTTACGAAGTGATCACCGCGATAAATCTAGTACCCAACAGACCATAGTTATTACAATATTACTGACTATATTTCTTATGCTATACTTCACTTCCCCATGATCATTCTGTAACCACCAATTTGTACTTCTTAATCCCTTCCCCTTTGTCATCCACCTCCCTTACCCCCCTCCCATCTGGCAGCCATCAGGATGTTCTCTGTATCTGAGTTTTCATTTTGTTTGTTCGTTTATTCTGTTCTTTAGATTCCACTTATAAGTGAAATCATATGGTATTTGTCTTTCTCTGTCTGACTTACTCCACTCAGCACAATACCCTCTAGGTCCAGCCATGCTGTTGCAGATGATGAGATTTCATTCTTTTTTATGGTTGAGTAATATTCCATTGTATATACATATACCACCTCTTTTTTTAATTCATTCAACACTTGATGGACACCCAGTCTGTCTCCATATCTTGGCTATTATAAATAATGCTGCAGTGAACATATGGATGTACATGTCCCTTCAGAGCAGTGTTCTGGATTTCTTCAGACAAATACCCAGAAGTAGGATTACTGGGTCCTTCTTTGTCTCTTGTTATCCCCTTTGTTTTAAAGTCTCTTTTGTCTGATATAAGTATTGCTACGCCAGCATTTTATTTATTTCCATTTTCATGAAATATCTCTTTTTCCATCCGTTTACTTTCAGTCTGTGTGTCTTTCGATCTGAAGTGAGTATTCTGTAGGCAGCATATATAAGGGTCTTGTTTTCTTATCCATTCAGCCACCTCATGTCTTTGATTGGAACATTTAACACATTTGCATTTAAAGTAATTATTGATATATATAGAGAGAGTTATTGCCATTTTATTTCCTGTCTATTTCTGACATATTTTGCCACTCACCAACTCCAGCTCATCCTATATTATGTAGCCAAACAGAGCCACTTCAAATTTCTCAAATTTGAGATGCTTTATGCTTCTCTCACTTTGCCTGGAATCTTTTTTGTCTAGTTAAAGTCCTAATCTTCCTTCAAAATCCCACTCAAATGCCACCTCTTTTATGGGGCCTTCCCTGATTACCTTGAATAGATATGAGCACTCTTCCATTTGCACCTCGACCATACACTGTAAAAATCTCTATAGCAAATATGACGTAGTACAATTATTTTTGTCTACATGTCTATCTTCCATGCTATCTACCATGGTTTCTTTGAGGGCTCATTCCATATTTTATTTTTGCATCCTGTGAACCTAGAACCGTTCTTGGCATCAAATATTTGCGGATTAAGTGGAAAACAAGCAAACATACCTCTACTGGTCTCATCCAAGCCAGAGAACAAGGGATAGCCTGAGCTGGAAGCTTTGTGTAGCAGCACCTGCAACAGAGTATCAAATATATAAATATTTAATCACATTTTTAACTGCATGTTATGGAATTTCTAATCCATTTCTGGATTTTAGCTCTTTGCACCATTTCAGAGTATTCTATTCACGTTTTAGATTAATGTCTTACACTTAAAAGAAATCTAAGAAATAAAATTGTAAAACATAATATTTTTGAAAACCATGCAATCAAAATATAGGAATAGTTTAAGCTTCAAGCTATATGAATACAAGTCTTAGCGTGACCCAAAGAAACATTTTCTTAATAAGAGACTGAAATTTAGTCTCATGGCCCATTCAGATTCACAGTCATGTGAAAGAAGACACAACAGATTATAGTCCAACTGTGAAACTAAATTACCGTTTGCCAAGTCTGCACTAAGAAGAAAGAGGGATGGAAAGGAGGGAAGGATAGAGGGAGGAAGGCGAGAGAAAAGAAGAGCGATCCTAACCCTTCAGCAGTATGATTCAAAACTTAAGTTGTGCTTACTAAATTTGTTAACTCACTTGAGGAACCTCAGAGAGGACTTCTGAACGGTTCCAATATTTCCAAAGTCTGGGTAGAACACTTCAACTTCCCGTTTCCCAAGGACTCGATGGATAATGACCCGATACCACCACTTATCCTCAGAAATCCTTACACAACAGAGATGTCCCGGTTGGATAAAATAGTCTGGCATGGCGTATCGATCAGAAACCAGTTGATTAGAATAACAGCGCCTGTGGAATTCCATAATATGGAAACCCGTAGTAGACAAAAAATTAAAGATCATTTTATCGATGTATCAAGAGCAGAAAAGTCTTGGCAAAAAGCGAAGGAAAAAAACACCCTCACTTTTTCTGATTTGTTAATGCTTATCAATGCCAATTAATTTTCCTTTTTCTTATCCAAATCCCTTCTCCTTAGCAACAAACATCTTCGAATAGAGATTTATACACTTATTTTATCTCATATTCTCTGCTGAACAGAATGTAAGCAAACTTCACTCCCCAGAGCTTCCTGAAATGAACATTTTAGAGATATCAATGGCCTGTTAATTCCCAAATCCCACAGCCTTTCTCCTTGGCTTTCCACATACCTGCTCTCTCTGCAGCATGACTCTACTGCTGTCCACTCTTTTCTCCTACTACTTTCTTGTTGATAATTATTCCTTTGATGGCTCTGTAACTGCCTTAACAGTTTGGGTTCTCTGGGGGCCTTATCTTTAGTAAGTATAACATACTTAGAGCTCAGGCTTCGGAACCACTAACCTGGGTTCAAATCCTGACTCCGTCATTTGCTAGCCGTGTGAGTTTATCTTTCTGTGCTTCAGCTTACTTGCTGAAGATGGGGATGGGGATAATAAAGCCCTAGTTACAACACGTGAATGTTTAGCACAGAGTCCAAATATAATAAGCACTCAAATATTAACTATTTATTATCCTTGCCATATACCATTTTCATGTCTTATATCACTGCTGATAAATTGACAATTCTCTGTCTCTACCTTTAGATCCTGCATCCCTTCTTCACTTTAAAACTTTATTTTCAACTGTATGGAAAAGTTGCTAGTTGTCCCTCAATTTCCAATCTCCTTTCTTTTTCTCTGCAGTAACAGACTCCCAAAGTTTAACTGAGTATATGGTCACTCAGATTTCCCATGCTCCGTTCCATCTAATGTGGCTATGTGAATACTAATTTCTGGCCAATCAAATGTGAAAAAAAGGTAAAGTCTGCATGATTAAGATGGCAAATGTATGCATATTTTACCAAAATTTTTTTAAAAAGGTAAAGTGTGAATATTCTACCTGTGTCTTTCAAAGAAAAGGGGATGCCTCCAAGCCCCCACCTACTTCTTTTTCCTCTACCCGCTGGCTGGAATGAGGACCCAGAGCACGTGGTGGTGGGCTACATTCCAGACCACATGCATGGGGCAGCAAGACCAAAACACTTGTGTTTCCTAACACCATAAAGCAACCCTATCTGCCTGCACTGCCTGTCAAGGGAAGAAGAAATAAACTTTTACCTTTATGCTACTATAGTGAAGCTATGTCTTTGTAGCAGAGGCTAAACCTAATCTTAACATTGTCCATTTGACACTGCCAATTCACTATCTCATGGTCACCTGAGGTGCACGATGTGCAAGCTTCCAACTCGTAACCCCAGCTCGAACTTACCCAACCTCTAAAGTCAGCACAGTTTTCATATTCTCCCTTTCTCCCTCACCCTTCTGACTTTAGAGGCTGGGTAGGTTCACCAGTTGTCACCAAGACCTGACAATTATACTTTCCTAATTTCTCTCCAATTTCTCTCTTTTCCCTTCCATTCTCACTCACTCTCTCACCAAGACTAACCTATCAGTGGATCTTGTCCCGTTCACTCCATCCAGCTTCCATACTGCGACTAGAGTTATCCTTCTAGAGTACAAACCTGTCGATGTTCTTTCTTAAAACTTTCAGAGGTTCCTCCTGTCAACAGCATAAGTCAAAATTCTCTGCGATGGTGTTCATACCCTAGCTTTTCCCTAGTCTTCCAGTTTCACGTCTAGTCACTGCCCCGCCACATCACCCAGTGGTGACTGCACCTCCCTATTGGTTGTTCCCAGAGCACACCACTCAGTCCTCTGTTAATGTTGGCCTCTGGTGCCAGTGACTGGACCCGCACACAGCCATTCGCACCTCCTTGACTGGCAAATTGTTGCCTGTGTTTGAGGCTTAGCTCAAGTATCTCCCTCGTGAAGCGTTTCTTCACCCTGCCCAGGCAGAACTACTGCCTCACACGATATCCCACTTACCCCCTGTCTTCCTAGACAATCGTAGTATTCACAAAGGCAAAGACTATATCCGTCTTCTTGTATTGTCAGTGCCTCAACATCCCAACACCAAGCAACAACAGATATAGTATTAATAATAACAGCAGCCAACATCTGAGCTAGACTCAATGCTAAGGACTTTAATGTTCACAACTCTGTGAGCTAGGTACTATTATTGTCCCCATTTCAGAGGTGAGAAGTAAAGTAACTTCAAGGTCAGAGCCAGTAAGTTTAAAACATGAACTAAATCTTACAGGCATACTGAAATGCAATATATGACAATATTTTCACTAAGTGATTATTATGTGACTTACAATATACCAAGTGTTCTTGGGTAAAAGATAAGTAAAAAATGTGGTAAAATTAGAAAAAAAAACATGAAATGCTTTAAAAGGGATAGAAAATAAATAAAAGTATTCTTATATGTGACAGTGTAAAAATCAGACATTTGTGAATAAATCTAAAATGATTAAAAATGTACACATTTTACATGGGTTCAATAACAAAGGGCATCGTTTTGCAGGAGAGGAAAGATCATTTAGAGCAGCAGTTATCCAAGCGTAGCTCATGAGGCCCTGGGACCCTGAAACCCTTTCAAGAAGACCATAAGATCAAAACTATTCCAATATTTTAGTATTACGAGAATAGTTATTTGCCCTTTTCGCTGTGCTAACATATGCACTGATGGTGTGAAAGCAAGGGTGGGTAAAGCTCCAGGTGCCTTAGCTATATCAAGGCTGGGGCACCAAACTTTACTAGCAGTCATTTATTTGTCACTGTCATACATTCGCATTAAAGAAAAGAAAAAGAGAGGCCAATTTCACTTAATGTCCTTGGTAAAGCAACAAACATTAGGTTGATTACATCTCAACCACTGAGTGACCGTCTTTTCAATATTCTCTGTAAAAACACTTCCTAAGTTAAAGGAAGCACTTGTGCATTTGAGTTATGAATGAACTAGTTGCTTTTTTTGTAGAACATTCCTTTTACCTGGAAGGTAAATTAGACACTATTTTCATGGAACACCGTTTTTGCTTGAAAGGACCTTGAAAGGAGCCTGTCACTGCAAGGAAAACAATGACAGCACCTGTTGTCAATGATAAAATTCAAAGCTTTCAAGTGAAAATTAAAATTTTGGAAATGTTGGACCTACCACCACGAGCTTGACAGCTTCCTAATACTTTTCTGATGAGATCAGTGTAATGTGATTTTTTTTTTTATGTGATAAAATTGTGTCAACATTTGGAAGATCTACATAATTCAGTGAGCTAGTATTTTCCAAATGACCAATGCATGATGTTTTAAAATCCCAGAGAGGGTAAAAGGGGCCAGTTTCATTGAGTCCACACTTCTATAAGGGCCCTATGCTTGCTTTAATGCTCTGCTTTGCTATCTTGAAATTCTTAATCGTTAAACAAGGAGCCTTGCATAATTTTGCGCTGGAGCCTGCAATTACACAGCCAGTTCTGGATACATTCAAAGTGCAAAGGCAGACCGAAGGATGTTAACATAGCAGAGTATAAGAAGTTCAAATTCCACCTTTCAACTAACCCTCAAGAAACTACTACTTGTCAAGTTTTGGTATACTATCAAAGAATATTCATGATTTTCTGAAAAGGCTATTAAAATACTCCTTTTCTCATCTCTGCATCTGGGTGAGACCACATACATGCATCTACTTCAATCAAAACATATCTCGAGAGAGTAAAGACAGAAGCAGATAGTAAAATCCAATTTTCTTCGATTAAGCCAGATATTAGAAATCTGTAAAAATGTAAAACAATTCCACTCTTCCAGTTTCCAGGAAATAGTGCTTTTTCATAAAAACATTATTTACATTTATACAGATAGAGCAATCATTTTTTAACAAAAGGTATTTTTAAAGTTTTGCAGTTTTAATTTCTATATGATAAATATCAACAAACAAAAGTTCTCTTGGGTCCTTGATTTTTAAGAACCCTGAGGCCAAAATGTTTGAGAACAGCTGATTTAAAATGAGAGACATGAAAAATACATTGAAAAGAACAGACTCTTACCGCATTTCAATCATCATATCTTCAAGTAACTCTGAAGAATCCCTGCTATAGATTCGGATGTAGAACTGACTAGGAGAGATGATATACTCCACGAAGACCCCCACGAGGGTACTGGTATCTAACGGTGGCAGTCTGCACAGTTTCTTATCCCGAACAGCATCTGGTGGGATATCATGATTTGCCATTGCCAGGTTGAGCTGTGATTTGTCAATTTCGACTTGCTGCAAGTTTAAAAAAATAAATAAATAAAAGAAACTACTAAAAATCTTTGAGTGACATTTCAAACTCTATGACAGCATTTCTCAAAGTATATTTTACGAGTCACCTTTATCAGAATCACCTGGGAAATTATAAAAATGAAGACTTTTAGGCTTTAACCCAGACTTACTAATTCAGAATACCTGGATGGGGGGCCCAAAATTATGCATTTAAAAAATTTCCTAGGTGATCCTTACCTACGTTATTTTTATTTGCTTACATTAAATTTATTGAGGTGCCACTGGTTAATCAAACTATACAGGTTTCAAGTGTACGATTCAATAATACAGCATCTGTATATTGCATTGTGTGTTCACCACCCAAAGTGAAATGTCCTTCTGTCACAATGTATTTGACTCCGTTTACCATTCTCTACTACCCCCACCCTCCCTCTGGTAACCACTACACTATCCATGTCCATGAGTCTGTCTTGTCCATTTGTTGCTTTCGGTTCTGTATTTCACATGAGTGAAACCATATGGATCCTTACTTACATTAAAATATGAAAACTACTGCCTTGTTATATTAGATAAGATTTTAAAGTGTGTTACAACTGCCCTATACAAAATTAAAAACATGGTACTTCAAATAATCAGGCTGAACTCAGACAGAGTCTCATCCTACCCAAGCTTATCAACAAAGGTAACTTGAAAGAATGAATTAAACTTCAGACTTGTCTTCCAATCAAAAAAAGTAGGATTTGTCAAACACTCTCATCCTAAAATACATTATTTTCCTTTAGGCCTTCCTACTGTCCTCTAGAAAACTTAGCAGGCTCTCCTAACAAAATGTTTTCCTTCCATGAAAGCAGCAGGTACAGACAGTAGAGGGGAAAAAGAGTAAGCAGTTAATTCCTTAATAACAACAAAATAAATAATAGAAGAGAGAATTGTTTGTGGAGATGTAATGAAGGAGAAAAATTAAAAGTGCCTTGTAATTAAGGATAGGTGCGGGGGCAATTTACAGCAACTATTGAGATATGCAGCAGAAACGAGGGTCCTCAATTCTTCCTAAAGCCCTCCAGGGTTTTCAAGCCTACATTTTCAAAAACCTGGACAGAGAATCTGCGATGTCATCCTAAGAGAACTGTCAAATCTTTAAAGTCATCTGAAAACTTTAAAATGAGACTTGAGGGAAAGCCAGTTATATAAAAGATTGAAAACCAGAATAAATGCTGCATAAGGTGACTACAGATAAAAGCTCTGGGCTCTTCCAAGAAATCATATATCTAGAAATAAGACTTTTGGTTTAAAGAAACCCAATTTTGGTTTAAATAACCATCTAGTTACTTTCCCATAATGCTGAATCTCCAGTGCCCAAGTCTTTAAATCTTACTCACCAGCTGCAAAGGCTTCACCACCAGATTCGGTTTCTTGTAAATCCTCTGTTCTGGCTCTTTACGGTTTTTAAAACAGTAATCCCACGTCGTCTCCTTGATAGTAGCAGCAGTAGACAGTGAATTTCTAGGGGGACTGGAGACACAAGTCTTGGCTTCTATTTTCTTATCTGACTGAACTAAACACGAATGTCTGACTGATGAAACAGCTCCATCTGCAATGACCAACAGAGTAGCCTAAGTATATCTATTAAATAGTTTGTACGATGGTGACTAAGCACATTCTATGTGCCAGGCACTGGGCAATGATAAATAAGAGATATGAACCTGTCTTTGTGGACTTTTCAGTATGCAGACATACAAGAAAGGTTCTAGGTGGGAACAAATCTTATGCTGTAGGGGACAGGGGTAAGTGGTGAAGGCTTCTTAAATTTTGGTGAAAGGTTTTATTTTTCAACATACTGACTTCGATTTATGTCTTGTTCGATTTTAGCAGTGAACATTCATTGTTACTTAATGTACCATGTATGAAATCCAGAATAAGATATCTGAATTTTTAGGGAATTCTCAAATTAAGCATATATTTTGTTCAAATTTACTTGTGTATGATGATTACAAGAGTTTGGCACATTAAACAGACCCCAGGTACATCTAAAGCCATAGTGATTTCTAAAAAATAAACTAGTAAGTGCACAAAGATATGGGTACAGGAATATTCATCACTGTATTTTTTCATAATGACAAAAAAATAGATAAAATCTACATGTCCATAGATTCACTGAATGAATTATAATATAGTTACATAAAAGAATTACATGTAGTTAAAAGGATGAAACAAACCTGTATATGCTGATATGGAAAAACATCGACAATATATCAAGTGTAAAAAGCAAGGACTTATATTTATATAATACCGTTTTGTGTAAGAAAATTTTACATATGATATATAACTATATTATACGGAAGAGGTCCTGAAATAAACCCACTAAAATAACCACCAGTTACCACGTCTACGTTGTTGGAACTTTTTAAATAAGAAAATACTACTTCTGCAATTTTTAAAAAATCTAGCTATGCTTACGTATACATTGATAAAAGTCTGGAAGGCTATATAAAAATTCTAACACCGATTTTTGGAGGTAAAATGATGGAAAATGTTCAATTTCAACACTCTATTCAGCTGTACTGTTTGAATTTTTTACAGTGAACATGAGTCATTTTAATCAGAAAAATCAACAAAGATACATTTACGCTTTGGAAAAAATAGCTGTCCATCATAACCACTTACAGAAACTTATAAAAATACAAGTACAATATTGTTACTATTGGTTAATAAGACGTTACCATTGAGGGAACTGCGGAAAAAGTACCTGGGATCTCTCTGTATTAGTTCTTAATAACTGCATGTGAATCAGCAATAATCCCAAGAAAAATTTCAAAAGAAAAAAAAAAACTAAGCCAGAAAAAATACAAAACAAACAAAAATCAAGTGCCCTAAATGCAATGTGATATCCTGGAGTAAACAGATCCAAAGGCAGGAAAAGAACAATTTTGTGAAAACTGGTAAAATTGGAATAAAATCTGGAGTTAAGTCATGTATCAATATTAAGTTTTTAGTTTTGATAAAAATGTCATAGTAATGAAAGATATTATTAGGAGAAACTGGATGAAGGGAATATGAAAACTCTGAACTATCTTTGCAACTTTTATATAAACCTAAAATTATCCCAAAATAAAAAATTAAAAAAAAAAAATACAAGTGCTGGGTCCCAATGCACACTCATTTATTCTGAATCTCCATGTATTTCTAAACAGCTTCTGATATATGGCCAGAGTTTAGACCACTGAGCAACCTAGTGCTTCCCCATCAGCTCACCATTTCAGAAAATTAATTTGGCTAGAATCATCCAAAAACCTGGACAATAAAGTAAATTTTAAAAATTCAGATGGTCTTTATTAATGCAATTTAACCTCATTACAAAAAATATCAACAGAAAGAAAGTCATTATACACAAAACACTTTCAAGGCTAATGTGTGATCTGTTCAGCTGATGTGACTATAATAAAGAATCTTCCACAACCAATGCTATCTTTCCCCTTGTCCTTACAGGGAAAACTAAAAATCAGGTCTGCATCAAACTGTAATTCAACTCACCAAGTGGTAGAGGCTTCATGTCAGCATCAAATACCAGTAAGTCTTGCTCTCCTTCTCTGAACTCAACATGGAGAATGTCACTAAGAGCTCCAACGAGTTCTGTCACATTTAAGAAGCCTAACTTTTTCGGTGAAAGTTGCTCTTTAAAAATTGCCTGTCACAAAAAATATCAGAAATAACATGAAACAACAAAGTTAGATAACAGGAATATGACATCTACAGATTCCCTTGGACAATGTTTTAACATGGACTTAGCCAAGCTAAGTTTGTAAGGATCAGTGAATGCGGGTATTCCAAGAAAGGCCTGGTTCTATACAGGAGCAATGCAAACCAAGGGACCCATAATCCCTCACAGTAAAACATCGAGGCCACTTCGAGTCCCCTTCGGAGCACATGGTAAACTGAAGGGAAAATCAGGAGACTGCTGTACCTCTCATTTTTAACTATGTCTGAATGTAAAGCAAAAATCTTTTTTAAAAAGAGGGGAATGCAAGAAATACAAAAAATCATAATAAACCTGTTGATAGTTCCCCATTTTCAGAGAAAGAGTATTCACTATCAGGTTCAACATGCAATAAGGTATTTTTAAAATATTTCCTCAAAATTTTATTATTTCACCCTTGAAAATGGGATAAATAAGCAGGTATCAGTGCATTTCCTACAGTATACTGTTTGATTTTCTTGCCTTAGAAAAGAAGAAAAATTATAACAAATACATACAGAAGAGAATATATAAAGGATAGATACTAAACATGTTTGGTTTAAACTGCACAGTCATTTAGTAAATCTGTCCTTGTTAATAAGCCCTCCCATCGAAATGGTTAGATTCTTAACAAAACTCGTCTCCCTAATCAAGGTAAAGCAGTTGAGCGAATCCTAATTTTTGCTCGCTTCCCGAGACCAGGTGTAGTAAGAAGTCCTTGCTCTGACTTAATCACCTTGCAGAATATGGACAGGAACACAAAAGGCCAACACCCTGAAAGAACTGATCTCCGACAGAGGGTGGGACCGCTACAGTGCATACCTTTTCGCTCATGTGATGCTGAGACCCAGCTCGACTCTTTAGGACTTCCCCCAGGACACTTTTAAAACTGCGGGCCTACCGTCAGGCTGGTCTTGGTTTAAAAGGGTCAATAACATCACATCCATAGCCAATCATGAATACCCGAGAAAAACAACTGGCAGAGAACAGGGGAAGGGTGGTGGTGAACTAGACTTAGTATCTCTACTTCTTCATACATTCCACTGTTTGATTTTCTTGCCTTAGAAAAGAAGAGAAATCATACCAAATACATATAGAAGAGAATATATAAAGGATAGATACTAAACGTGATGGTTTCTGATCATTTTCATGAGTCTCTTTAATGGTTTCTCTACATTCTCTATAAGTGCCTACTACTATGAATATGCAATTCAGTTGAACAAAAGTCTAGTTTGGAAAAGATTTTTTCATGTAAATCATTAATTTTTTTTTTTAATAAGTGATACTCAAAAGTCTCAAAACGTTATACAGCGAAAACTAAGTCTCCACTCCTATCCCGCAGTCACCCAGGAGGTCACCTCCCTAGAAGAAACCATTATCGCCAGTTTCTGGTGCAACTGTTCATGGAAGATATATTACCCAATTTTATTATAAATACTGTGTGTGGATTTTCGGTTTTGCTATCTGGTTTCTCTGTCTGCCTTTGTGCGGAGCTTCGGAAGGATCCCCAAAGTGCTGCTGCACTTTCTCCTTCGATCAGCGGTAAGAGACCTTGAAAGAATGGCAGATTGTTGACCAGGTATTTCGAGGGGACAAATCATACAGGTGGCTTGTATATCATGTTGGATAAAGACTTGGCAGATGTTTCTACAAGTTAGAATAAAAGTTAAATTAAATCTATACTTATTATATATTGCTAATCGTAAAGCTGCATTTCTGCCTAAGACTGTTTACCAAGAAAGGCAAAGAGCCTCCCTATAAAATGAAAAGGTTTGTTTTAATTTATCCAAGATTGTTGACTGGTAAACTTAACACCCTGAATTTTTATTACAGAAGGCTACATTTGCTAAAATGTTTGTAGCAGAAAATTGCTCAGTTTGAGTTGTGAATCTGGCACAGGAGGTTGATTTTATCCATAAATTCTGTGATAATTAAATCATATTCTATTGCAGACTTTATTCTGTAATATTATTATTAAATAAGTGACTTTACTTGTTAATCTAAAAAACATTAATAGACTTTGTTTTAGCTTTCTCCCACAGGCCTATTTGAAAAAACAGAAACAAAAAATGTTGTGGCTCTAAATGATTCATTTCTTTAAGACAATGTGATTTTAAATTTTCTCCATCACTATCTGACAGATGATGTGTATCTTTCCTAAGTTTTCTTTTTCTTCTACTATGAGTTAACGTACATTGAACAATTACTATGTGAAAGGCACTGTTCTAAATACTTTACTTTTAAATCATTTAAATTTCATAAAACTATGAAATTAGGTACTATTGTCCTAAATTTAAACATCACCTATAAAATAGCACAGAGGTGATATATCTTAACCATTGTGCTATAGTATCTCAAAGCGTCCATGTTTACATCTGCAAATATGAGTTTCGATGGCATGGTAGTTAAGAATTAGGATGCTGAAGCCAGTCGCCTGGGGTTCACCCCGGCTCCACCCACTCCTAGCTACCTGACCCTTAGGCAAGTTACCTCTCTGTGCCTCAGTTCGTTGTGAAAAGTAAACGAATTACTATATAAAAGGCATTCAGAATAGAGTCTGGCACACAGCTAACACACATATAGGTCTTACCATTTTTTAAAATTAGATAGATGGCCATATCTGAATTAACATTCTGTAACTTGATTTTTTTTTTCACTAAACATGATAGTTCCCAAAACGATCCATGTTTCAGAACAAATCTAGTTCACATTTTTAATCTACTACATATTATTCCATTGTATAAATGTCAATCTCAATTTATTTACCTGTTCTCCTATTAATGGCCATGTGTTTCCAGTTTTCTGCTATGCTGCACTGTGCACGTGTCAGAGTGTCTCTGAAGTACATACGTGGAAGCGGAGCTGCTGGAACCCTGGGGGTGAATCGCCTCAACACTACCTGCACTGTCAAAACGCTCTCCAAAGGGGTTTTCTCCCACAAGCACTGTATGAGGTACTGTGTTTCGCCACGTCCCCAACGGACACTTGGTATTATTAGACATTAAAAGTAAATTAACTTTTATTCTAATAATATTATAACAATAAGTGGTAAAAATATCCTTCCTGCATAATGAAATGTTTATTAGGGAGCATATTCTTTACTCTTTTAGTAAAAAAAAAAAAACACCAAAATGCAAAACAAGATGTTTACGTTCTAGAGCACAGATTTGGAGGATCCAAGGAGTAGCAACAAAATTTCTATCACAAAAAATATAAGCTATAAAAAAATTATGGTTGGTGAAAAAGAAAACACTCACCTCAAACTCCCTAAGCAGTTTAGAAATAAGCAAACCCTCTGGAAACTTGGACACAACCTAACAAATAGAAAATGAAATACAATATAAATAGACGCTAATAGAATGCTGGGTGCCAACAAATCAAAATAAGACAATATAAACTGAAACAGTAACAAAGGCAAAAAATGACATTATTAAGTAAATGAATTAAAGTCACGATATTTTAATTCAATCTCCAGTTTTAAAAAGGGTTATAAAAAGAAAAATAGCAGTGACTTCTAACATTTCCAGAGCTGCTACAATGTCAAAACTCTCCAGAAATTCCTACGGTTCTTTAGCTCTAACATATTTAGCTTTAACTCGCATTAAAAAAAAATTCTACAGCACAATTTCAAACATTTTTAATGGCAGAAAAGAAATATAATGGATATTATATAAAACTTTGGGAAACATGATTAAGAGAAAATATCTACAGACAGTAGCCATTGTTGTCCATATGCATATAAAAACACTTTTATTTAACATAAAAATAGTTTCTATAACCAGTTTTTAAATATCATACCAAATCTTTCCACATCTATACATGGAGCAATATGTTTACTGGCTAGAGTTTTCAAAATATTCAATATACCTAAATTTATTTATTCAATCCTCTATTTTTCATTCACAAATTTTACAATTATCCCCATAGTTGCATCTTGCATACTTGTCCAATTATTTTTTAGAATAAATTCCTAGAATTAGACTTACTCTATCCCAATAAAGTGTACAAAGCTTTGGGTTTTCCTAGATTTTTCCAGATACTATGTATTTTACTAAAAATCCTAATTTAAGCTTCAGAAAAGTATAAAGTAAAAATTACACAAAATTCTGTGACCCAGAGACAGTTGTTGCTACATTTTGGAAAATCCTTTCAGAAACCAATTTATGCACACGCTTATTTACATTATTCATGATTCTACGTGAAAAGACAATACTAAATATGCTATTCTATAAAATCTGTTTCTAAAGTCCAACAATATGTCAAAAAGATACTTCCATGTAAATTAACTGAGGTTAAGGCATACATAAACTTTCTCATGAATCACATGATATTCCTTAATTTGGGTGGGTAATTTAAACAATCTTTTATCAATGAATGTTTTAATTTTCTCTAATATTTTGGTACCATAAAAAAATCATATTGAACAAATGTTGAAACAGGAAGATAGGGGTCTGAATGCATCAAGGTTTTTGCATTTCTGCCAGTAAAACCACAACAGCTGAAGTGGAATAATATAAGGCAGTAAGAGTCATAATGTCACTCTGATCATGCAAATCACAATTAACAGCTCCCGACAAAAATTTAAGTGTACATACCCTTTGCCCCAATACATAACAGCCAAAGAGCTTTACAAATTAATAAGGAAAAACAATAAATTAGGTCAAGGACACGAATAGGAAATGCATAAAATATAAATGGCTACTAAGCATATGAAAAGATGCTCAATGTAAAAATCAAAAAGTATAAATTAAAACATGATTGGATAGTAACATTTCACTGTTGGTGGAAATGTAAATTTGTTCAAATCTTTTAGAAGGCAATTTAGTAAACTTAAAATATTCAATACCTTTGGCAATTCCACTTCTAGATAAATGTTCAAGAACATTAACTGCAGCATTTGTTAACAGTCAAGACTAGAAGTAACCTAAATGTTAATCAATAATGAATCTCATAAGTGAAATATTGTACATCAACACAATGGGATACCATGTACTATTTAGAATATTTGACATACATATGTATGACTATATTAGAAAGATCTTGAGCTATTTATTAATAATTTGGGGGTGGAGGAAGGGAAAAGGGAAGAGCATTTATGAAGCAACTTAAATTTTCTAAACGATTTTAAAAACATTAAAAATATTTAGTAGTTGGTAATTTTTTTTCTGATCTTAAAAGAACAGTCACGTCATTTGCAGTATATTTGAACAGATCGGGAATAAATATAAAACTAATAAATACCTGTAGGCAAATTAAACTTAACTATAAATGATATCTAAATGTATAATCAATTATTCTTATCCATTTCCCCCGAACGGAACTTACAAATTTTATCTTATGTTTTAGTTCTGGATTGATAGTCCCTCCAGGTCCAATTTGCGCAATAACTGATTTGAAGGTATTCTCCAACTATGAAAAAAGAAAAAAAAGTTCAAGTTACAGTCCAAAAAAAACAGTCAAAGATAAATCTGAACAATATGTAAACATCTATCAAAGGAAATGTATTTCGATCAAATGGATAAAATATTGTTCTTAAGAAGCACTGTAACATTTCATATCACATAACATACATTTAGAGTAGACGGAGTCTTTATAAAACTAAACGCTCTGAAATTTTCCAGGATAATTAATATTCTCTGTAATACTCAGATTCTAGAGTCTTCAAGTACTCAATCCCATACTCTTACCCAGAAAGGATTTTTGTTACTAATGTTCTTCTGTTTATAAAAGTATTCGATGTTTACTAAATACATGCTTAGTGATGCCTGATGCAGGGAGGAGATGGGATAGTGGAAGGTTGCTCGCTGGGAACAGGGTGAGCCACGGTGCTGGTGTAATGACTGTCGGCCCTCAAGGGCAGGAAGGAGAAGCTCTCCTGTTGTAAGAAATGAAGGGGGAAGGAACCAGTAGAGGGGTACAGAAAGGCTCTGTGAAGGTGGGGTCAGAAGGTGGAGAGTCACCTGATGGCTTCAGGCTTCTCTGAGTTCAGCAGCAAGGCCCACTCCTCACAGAGGAAAGTGGAGGGAGGGAGCTCCGTTGAGAAAGCGGAAAGAGGCCTCGGTTAAGAAAGCAGGGATCTGAGGGTTTCAGGAGAGAGAAGTCGATGGCATAGGGAGGCCCCAATAAGATAAAAAGATGATGCACGGGAATAACCGGAAGAATGAGCCAGAAGCACAGGCGGTTATTTATGATCAGAGAGTAGCATGGAGCATATTCATACAGGCAAGGTCCAGTGAACAGTCACGGCGGTGGAGACTGAACGTGGAATGAAAGATCATGGAGCTCTGTTTAAAGATGTTTAAGTAAATATAAAATGTATATCTATATTAGAAAAGACACAGAGATATCAAGAAAAACACAAATTACCTAAAGTCCTATCACAAAGACACAATCACTATCAATATTTTTTCCTTCTAAACGTTTTTCTTTTGTAATCTTTCTTCTTATTGTTACTTGGCCTGTCATTACTTAAAAGCTATGACCTTTTAGGTCTGTTTCTTCATCTGAAAAATTAAGATAATCTCAATCATCTCAAAAGGTGGACAAGAAAATGGGATCGGGGGGCAGGGGGCGGGGGGCGGATTTTTTCCCCATGATTATATCACTAATTTTCACAAAAGGCTTCAGTCTTATGTTCTTTATATTTATTCTCTATCTGCCATGAGATGATTCCCTAAAGCTCTCCAGTGAATAAGAGAATCTGAAGATAACTGATTTTTCACATCCCAACAGGCTCCCACCATTTAAAGATTCAGTATAACAATTTAATAAATTATCACTGTGCTAGGTGTTTCAGGGGACAACAACAAAAAAAAAGGTCACTTTCGGCAGAGTCATTCCTCCCAACTGAGTAGGGAAACGAGATAAATGCGCAAACAGCTATGACCTAAGACTGACTCAAAGCACCACTGAAGAGGCACAAAAGTGCAGAAAGGTACATCACAGTTAAGTTATAAATACACGGGAAGCTTCCTTTTAGAAGGGCCTTGAAGGATGGGAGAATGTTGCAGAGGGAGGTGGCGGGGAGGGCAATGAAGGGAGAAGGAATTTCATGAACAACAAAACAATGGACGGTTGGCCTGACGGCATTAGGGCAGTAGTGGAAGAGAAAACTGAAAAAGGTAGGAGAAAGTCGTATTACAGAACGTGACCGTAAACACCAAACTAAGGAGTCTTTCTTGGTTACGGAAACAAATACTGATACTAGAGACTTTTAGCAAGGGAGAGACGTTATCGCAATTTTAATCGGGCAAAAAACTAGAGGGATGGACAACCAGTCAGGGGACCACTGCAACTCTCTGGGCAAGAGTTTTAACTAGGGCGCTGAGGGTAAGAACAGAAAGAGGGGATAACGCAAAGTGGAGTCTACGAAAGTTAGGAAAGAACACAATGGAGAAGGAATTACTGATTCTATAGAAATGAATGAGAGACCAAGGAAACAGCCTCGAAGACCTCGAGCTGTATGTAGAAAGCTAAAGGACCCCGGGAAACTGGGAGGTAAATGACAGTACGGTGAATACAAATGTGATTTGTCTCTTACAAATATGGCTTGTAACAAGGTTGGCAAACGATGGCCCACGGGTCAAATCTGGCCCACCATCTCTCGCTCTACAGCCCATGAGCTGAGACTGCTTTTGACATTTTTAAATGGTTGGGGGGGTGGGGGGGAAAGGAATGATATTTTGTGACACATGAAAATTATATGAAATTCAAATTTCAGTATCTATCAACAAAATCTTATTGGAACATAGCCACACTCAGCGCGCTCAGCCACACTCAGTTACATATCGTCCACGTTTGTTTGTTTGTTTTTGCCTCAAAGTAACTGACTAAATTAAGCTGACTTTAAACGGAATGAAGTGAGGGAGATTTCTTAAAGTCCAGGTAATCTTGGGGACAGCTACAATTAGAGGGTAGAAATTATAATGTGGGGGCTAGGACGTGATCAATGATTGACACGAGGAAGGTAATCTAAAGGGTCCTTGATTTCAACAATGCTTTAGTCTCAGATGCCCATGTATCAAACAAAAAAAAAATGGACAATAAATCAAGTGAACAAAAGATTATATTAGAAAGATGGAAAGTGCCCCTCCCCCACCAAAAGCCATATTCAGATAAGAGTATTTAGTGCCAGAAAAGAGATGTGAGTCAAAGAGAGATACACCTCAGAAACATGGGCAAAAACACGAATAGGCAATTGATAAAAGTTAACACTAAACAGCCAATAAAAACAAAGTTTAACCTCTAATAACTAGACAGTAATAGTCAGATACAGTTATTTGCCTATCGAATTAGAAAATTATTTTTTACCATAATGCCCACTTATTCATTCAACGATTATGTACTGAACACATCCTATGTACTTCACACTGTACAAAGAGCTGGATACACAGGGGTAAATAAACTAGATATGGTCACTGCCCTCAGGGAACTTGCAGTCTAGCATGGGGAGACAGACATGAAACAATCATATAAATATGTAACGACGATTATGATAAATATTATGAAAAAACCCACAGAGTCATGAAAGGATAATATGCCAGAAGGTGTTAGGGAGGCCATGGGAGATCCAGCTTAGACTTGGGGGTCAGTAAAGAGGCAGCGGCCAGGGGAGGGTTTTCGAAAGAGGGGTCCATTTATTCTGAGTACTGGCAAAGGTACGAGGAAAGCAGCACATTCACACACATCTTATGTGAGTGCTAACTGAAACCACTGTCGGGGAGGACAACCTAACTACGAGTATGATAAGCCACAAAGGTGTACATTCCTTTCGATGCAGTGATGGCATCTCGAGAAATTTATCCTGTAGGTAATGGAGACATGCACAAATTTGAGCAAGACTGTCATCATAAGGTTATTTTTAATAGCAAAAACTAGAAACGGCCTAAATGCCTAACCTAAGTTAGAAGTAAAATAAATTCTAGCTCATACATCCTGCCGTTAAAAATTATGTAATGTAAAATTACGTTACATTACAATATTTAACAATGTGGGATGTTCACAATACAAAATTATAGCTAAAAAGAAGCAGGTCACAAACCTGGACCAGAATTATTCTACTTTTTATAAAAAAAAAAAAAAGTCAAATTCTAAGGGTGACAAAAGTATGGGTGATTTTTATTTTCTTCTGTCCTTTTCTTTATTTCAAATCTTCTACAATCAATCTATATTACTTTATAATAAGAACAAGTTTTTAAAAACATAGACACACCTAGGTGATATTTAGAAACAAGAGTTGTAAGCATTTTGGAAAGAAGATACATGAGGCTAAAAGCAGAAAGAAACAGAAGTTACATCTTAGAGAAATATACCACAGACCTTTTGGCATTATGGTAAAACATAAATACATTTCTGATAAAGATCACACACTGGCAGGCACACATGCAGAAGTGACTCTTTCAGCTGTTTAAGTATCTGCCAGGTATCTCATTTGACTAAAAGGTAGGCAATATGGAATTTGACTTGCCATACTAAAAATTTCTTCCAAACCCATGGGAAAAAATAGGTATAAAACCGCTACTCTAAGTTGGATTTTATTAATGAACTCAGTGAATTGCTCCTTCTGACAGTACGTGTTTAATCCATCTGGTTGCTTGTCCAGACACTTATGAACGATAGCGGAACCAAGTCATCAAGTGAAATAAAAAAGCTTCTTTTCTTATATGCAATACCAAGTAAAGCCTTTATTGATGTAAAAACCATCGACTGCTTGGGTGTAAATTAAAAGTCAGGTAGCAATTAAGACCCAGCCCTGATTTTGAATTCATTTAAGAGTAGACCTTTATAATTCCAGGTTTACCTACTTTAAATCTCATGCTGAATGTTACAATAAAATTTTCTAATGTGTAAGGGAGTAAGTAGGGTAGGAGGGGGTCCTAGATGGAATTAAGACTAGAGACCCTAAAAATGCCAGATTCCTGTTCCTTGACCAAATGCTCTTGCAGGCAATGACCCATTAATGGGAAGCAAAGTAACACCATTGTTAGCTGTGATCTAAGACTAAACATTAATGCAGAGAATTCTGATGAGCTGGGCTGGACAGAGCATCTGAGGCTTCATTAACCAGAAAATAGAGCTGATTCGTTTCGCTCATTCACGTTTTCATTCCTCATCTAAACTTCCTCTCAAGAGGTAAAAATAAATGAACAGAATGTGGTAAAAAGATTATTCCTATCATGCAAAACAGGCTTTAAATTGTTCTAAACCATTTGCTTTGTGAAACGAAGCATGGCGATTGGCGAGGGTGGGATACTAATGACCAAGCCTGACTGTGCCTCTTACAGGTGAAAAATGAAGAAACACTAATCCTCCTCATTTTACAAAGGAAAAACTGATTTTTTTTCTTTTTAATAACATATTTTTCTTATGACAAAATAACATGTGGAAAAACAAAACAAAGATGATCAAAAAGAATATAAAAGTCTGTAAATTTACAATTTAAATTTAATCTTGTTAAATATTTATTCTTTTTCTATGCACATAAAGAAACCCAGATACTTGTAGAGTTTTGAGGGAACACCCAGAAAACTGATGGATCTATAATTCTGAAGAAATGCAAAGGTGTACTTATTATAAGTAAGATTGTGTAGGATCTGCTAATTGTGTAGAGTCTATCCTGCTAGGAAATTTAAATATATAGTTTAGGAATTACAGCCCACTCCTTAGAACAAGATTTAAATAGCTCTGATGGCAAAAACTTCAACTGGAAGTGAAATGTGGTTATTAGGTTGTATCTATGAGGAATTCTTGGAGCTGCAAAGCACAGGATGAAACTCAAAGAAAGAAAAAATGTACATGCATCTCTCTCCTCTCCTTGGAGCCATGTCTGGAGCCAAGGTCCTAAACTTTGCATTTGTTACTGCCTGGCTCTGACAGTTAAAGATAAAGTCTTCCCACTCAATTCTTTAGAGTTTAAAATCTCTGAAAAAGAAATATGCATTATCATCGTTCTTTAAATATTTTTTTTGGAATTTTTGTCAGTATGATAAATTTAGAAAATAGAAATAAGACCTTTACACCTTGGATAAAAACAAAGCAAAATTATTTATAAACATTATCATAGTCTATTTGGAAAATCTGAGAGTTGTTAGAACAAATAAATTCAGTAAGGTGACCAGTTTCAAAATAATACTTTAAAAAAATCAATTTGTTTCTCATAAGCTAGAAGCAGTTAGAATCCCATTTCCAACAGATAGGAAAGTATAACATTATGCAATATCTATGAATACACTTACAAGATATGTGCCAAACTCTAATGAAGAAAACTATACATCTGCACTGAAGAGCATAAGATAATACTGACCAAAGAGAAAGCTGCATACTATTGAATGGATATATTTAATGTAATGTGTGAAGTGTTCGAATTTTTTAAAATTTAATTCTAAGAGAAATCTTACTGAAATTTTAGAACTTACAAAAGTAATTCTAAATTTCCAAGAAAAAAATATATTAGGGTAGGAAAAATGTCTGAAAAGAGACTAACTACAGGAGACTTGCCTTAAAAAACATTAAGGTGAATTTAAAAGTACCATAATTAAAACAGTGTAGAACTAGCATAGAAACACACTCCAAAATTATAATTCGAGTAGATTAAAACTTGATCCATACTTGATACTTTATACAAAAAATTAACTTCAAATGGATGCTAGACTGAAGAACAAAAAATCATAAAACTTCTAGAAGAAAACATGAGAGAACAATTTGTGACTTTAGATTAAGCAAAGATTTATTATGTAAGCAAGAATCAAAAGAAAAATATAAATTAGATGTCATCAAAATGAAAGACTTCTGCTCCACCAAAAAAAACCCAAAAAAACAAAAAAAAACAGATTAAGGAAATAAAGAAGCAAGCATAGATCAAGAGAAAATATCTGCAAAACATTTCTCTGATAAAGGACTTGTGTCCAGAATATACAAATAATTCTTCCAACTCAATCCAAAGACAACTCAATTTTTAAGACTGAGTAAAAGATATGAACAGACACTTCAAAGAAGATGTACAAATAGAAAAATATGCTGAAAAGGTACACAACATTATTCATCACTAGAGAAATTTCTATTAAAACCAGGAGATACCACTACACACCCACTGAAACGGCTCATATTTTAGCCATTAACGGCAATTGGAACTCTCACACATAGCTCATAGGAAAGTAAAATCTTAGAGCCACTCTGGAAAACAGTTTGGCAATTTCTTATGAAGTTAAACATGCACTCAGAGTATGACCCGGCAATCCTATTCCTAGGTATTTATCCAAGAAAAATGAAGTCTATCTTCATTCAAAGTGTATGCAAATGTTCCTAGCAGCTTTAGTAATAATACCCCAGGAAACAATCCAAATATCATCTGATGGAGAATGGATAACAAATTAAGGTATATCAACATAGTGGAATGATATTCAATAAGAGAAAGGAACAAACTACTGATACATGCTGGATGAATCTCAAAAGTATCATGCTAAGTTAGAGAAACTAGACATAAAAGGCTAGATGTTATTTAATTCCATCTATGTGAAACCCCTGGAAAGTCAAAATTGTAATTATAGAAAGCAGTGGTTGTCTTGGGCTGCAGCGGGGGAAAGGGACTGACTTACAAAGTAGCATGATGGAACTTTTGGGGGTTGACGGAAATGTTCTGTTTCTTGGTCTTGATGGTGATTTCATGACTAGACACATCTGTCAAAACTCAAAACTGTCCATTTAAAATGGGTAATTTTTACCACATGTCAATTATGTTACTAAAGCTAATTTTTTCAAGTTACAGAAATAAGGCACTTTTATACCTTGAATTTAATTTCCATGTGCTTATTCTGAGCTTGGCTTAAGTTGCTATCTTGTGCTCTTAACCGGGCTTTGCTGGTTATAGTCTAGTAGTTTTCATTCAAAGCCCTTCAGCGTTCCAGTCACAGAAACACCAGGACTGCAGTGCTCAGGACCAGCCATTCAGGCGAAGATATTCATGCGGGAAACTGCAAGATGCTTGCACAGCTTAGGTGAGAGACACAGATGTGGGAGTCATCCGCGGAAAATAGTAGGAACCATGGAGTTGACGAAACTGTACTACTTTCTCACTGCCACCTCTCACTTAATAGTCCACAGGACCACAGAAAATGCTTACGTTAAATCTGAAATCGATGAATGACTTAAATGTTGAAAAATCAGCTTTTCCATCAGACCTAAGTAATAACCACTGAATTTAAACACATTTTCGGTGTACTTAAAACTCCAAACTCCGATAGCTCACCTGGTTTAATTTTTCAGTGTGATTCAGCCTTGAAGTATCCACTACGTTTGACTTAAAAGTCTTTTCCATGTTCAATATTTGATTTGGTGGTTCCATGTTTGAGGTGGGCTGTGAAAAGCGTGCCTTTGCCACTGGGAAGCCCGCAGAGTATGGCCCTTCTTGTTTCATTCTGAAAGGCTGGTTAAAAATTTTACCTTTTGTGAAAAGAAGAGAGAAAAATTGTCACTAGAAATTTCTAGTTTATTTTCTGATAATTATATACAGAGGCTACTGTGAGCTAACTTCCCTCAACTTGCAACTAAAAATTAAGGACAGTAACTGTACATTTTTAATGTGAGGCCAATACAATTTACATATAATTGAAGTGATTAGTCATCTACAGAAGAAAACCAAGAGATTATTCATAAGTGTGTTACTGTAAAAGTTGGGACTATCTGGAACTCCACTTAACGTCACCCGAATATATTTACAGAGAGGCAGGATTCAATAGGTAAAACTCTAAAAAGCTGTATCCTGTTTGAGAGCAAAAAGTCTCCAAGTAAGGAGTCTGTTTAGAATTATGCCTCAAACTGGACAACCGCCCAGCAGTGTGTGTGTGGGAGTGAAGGGGATGAAAAGCTATAAAGATATTATTTTCAAGTATAGATTTTTTTCTTCAAGATTTGTAGAGAGGAGAATATCACTGGAGAGGTGTATTCTGTTATACGACATGAAGAGTGTACCACTGAACCTCACTTCTTTATTCTTCTAAGATCAAGTTCACCAAAAAAAACCCACAATTCTCTCTGAGATATCCTGATGATAATAAAGGCCATGGATTGGGAGCATGAACCTCTTGTAAGTTGAATAACATGAGTGAGTCTCTCTAAGTTTGAGCATCTCAAGAATATTGATATGGTTGAGGGCTAAACTCTAAACATTCCGTGGACTCCATGGCCTTCCCCAGTTAGAGCATGTAAACCCCCTGGCAGATCTCCATCCGATGACATTACCCACCACTGCTTAAATATTAGTTTATAAACACATGACATTCTCACGGTTCACCTATGTTAATCTAAAGACAGATTTTGGAGAAAAAGAAAAATCACTGAAACGGGCACAGAATCTCCCAAATAGTCTCAGATTCCATGCTGTCGAGGGTCTAGAGAAACACTACACAAATGATCGTACTGGTCTTTTTGAGCCTTTGAGAAGGACAGTGACTGGGGAGGTAAAGCATTGGACGAGCAGTAGTGAGAGCTGGGTATCCAATCCTGGCTGGACCACTTTTCCAATCATGTGACTTTGGAAAAGTCACTTAGCTTTCCAGAGCTTTAGTATTCTTATCTATCAGGTAGGTTACTTACCCTTGTCTATGGTATGGCAATGAGAACATAAGGTAAATGCTATACAAATAAGGTGTTTATTGTAACACTACATAAATTACTGCAGTGCCTGCTATTATATCAAAGACCGGTGATGGCAAAGGTCAGATGGCAAATGCCACTAACCAGTATTTTTAAAAGTTTCACTTTTCATGTTACATCTTCTTTACATGAACACATAGAACTAATGTTCATTTACAGTGCTTTAGCGAGAGCTGATCTTGGGTTTTTATAATAGCTACTATTTATGAGCTTACTAAATGCCAGGTGCTTTACAGACCTCCTCTCACTTAATCTTCAGCACAACTCTATGAAGTATTATTATTTTCATTAGACAGATGAGAAAACTAATGCTTAAACATTTTAAGTAACTTGCCTGAGATCACTCAGCTAGCGCATGGTAGAGCCAGGATTCAACACACTGGTAGAGCTTAGCTATTACTTACCTCTATATATGTCAAGATTGCTCCAAAATTTGCTCACCTACAATACAGTTACCAGTGCTAACATGCTTACCTGCTGGCCATCCTCTTTGCTTTTCCTCTGATATGCTCTTCTTTAGCATCAACAAAGAACCTGCTCTGGTCTGCTCTACAGAAATGACATCCGAAGCAGCATTCAGCACTTCAAACATAGACAGGAACCCATACTGCACATACTGGAATGACCGTCCAAATCGCCTGGCAAATGCCTTTTCGAAATCAGAAAGGAGAACAGGGGATAACGCCAGGAGGTCCTTCAACTCACTCTTCACAACAGCTGGAAGAATAGGGGGCACCCGTCCTCGGTAAGGTACTCTCGGACGAGAGCTTGGCCCAGAGCAGACACTGGCCCTTCCCTTCTGCATGGAGTTTCGCACCTTATGGCTGCTCCTCTGTTTTGCAACCAAGCTTGCTATTCCTTTAGTGGATTCATCAGGAATGGCTAAAGAGATGTAGAAAAAAAGGAAACCGTGTTTAGGTTAAAACTTACTCCCTTCTTTAAGCTTTGTATCTGTGGTTATACAGACATTTTAAAACTCGCCAAGGAGCTGTGTATCTAGGCAGCGTGGCAAGTATGAACCCTTAGTTCTCCCATTTTTTTGCATTTTGGACAACAGCTTATTAGCTCCTCTATCAGAGGATGAAGAGAGAAAGGTAAAACCCAATATATCATTATTACTTCTAACTGACTCCTGAAAGGTTAAAACTCTTGAGACCAACAAGTTGTGTGTGTGTGTGTGTGTGCACGCGCGCATGTGCGTGCACGTGCACACGCGTGCAAGAGCATCATGAAATTTAAAAAATGATTTTATAATTAAAAAGTCCCACTCCCTCTCCCAACTTAAGGTGCAATAATCTGAAATCATATGCAAAATGTAGTTTCTGTTAACTTTGCCCACACCCTCAAAGGGGTCTGTGATCTCCCTCTCCCCCGCAAAACATTAAAATCCCACGCCTAAGATGCGGGACAATGGCTAAAACAATTCTTTGCTAAGTGATTATTTTTACAGACCGTCAAATCTTAACCCACCTTTCAGTATTACGGTACCGTCCCCACAGGGGCAGACACTGACAACGTCAGGCATGTCCAACATCAGCTCCATAGTGGAACGATAGCCAAGGATTCGGAGTGGTAAATGGTTGCCAATCATCAGAAGGTACTCCTTCTCCAACTGCTGCGGGGTCAGACCATCTTTGGTGGAAATGAGAAGCGACCTTATTTCTTTCCTCAGGCATTCAAAAATTGTTCCGACATTGCACTCTACAGATTTAAGACAGAAGCAGGCAAACCCAAGATATTTAGTTTAAAATGACCCATGGGATACAAACGACTGAGATGCTGGGTTTAAAGGTGGTAAGGCAGAGGGTCCTCGTCCTCTGAAACTTGCGTTTCGCTAAGTCCCCACGCAATTCGAACTCTAAATCTCAACCTCTGTTAGCTTATGTGGCTCGCAAGAAATCACTGCCACTGGCTACTGTGTGACATGTCCAAGTTCCGCAGTGTTAACTCAGGTGTGTCTGGGGTCTTATCAGTCTGTCTACCCAGACAGAATCGCCCGTGGGAACCAGGACTGGGAATGAGGCAAACGCAAAAATGGCACTTCCCCACGCAAGGAGACGGCTCCAGGTAAAGACGTTCGCCCCAGCCTACTTTCACCACCCCAAACCGACGGGGGGGAGGGGGCTCCCCGCTCCTCTCACCTAAGTCCTCTTCGCCAGCCCCCACCCCACGTTGCCCAGGTAAGGCGTCCCCTTCCCGTTCTCCGCCCCCAACGTCTCACCGCCCCTGGCGGTGTGGGGCGTTGTCCTTCCACGTGCCCGGGGACGGCCCACGACCTGGGGTGACAGGCCGGAGGGAAGGGTGCAAGTGGAGCATGCCGCCGCGGCTGGCCCCGTCTGGCCGCCCCCTCACCCGTCTCGCCGTTGCGGGCCCCGCAAGGTCAAAGGCGCTCTCCCTA